TAGACGTGTCCATTTGCCGGGCCGGGTCGAAACCCGGCCCGGCCCGCCGGGTCGGCGGTTCACCGTGTAGTGAACCGGGCCCGGCCCGCTTGTAACTAAGGGCCGGTTCACTGAACCGGCCCTTAACCGCCGGGTCGCAAACCCGGCGGGTCGAGTCGGTTCCGGGTCGGGCCCGGCGGGTTTGCGGGTTTTTTACTTTTTTTGTTATTTTAATGTATATTAATGTTTATTTGAATAAATAGTTTGTATATACTTCGAAAATATAAGTTTTTGAGTCTGTTTGTCTATATCATTTCAAAATGAAACAAAAATAATGATCGGGCGTCAATTCTTGGAACCAAACGGTTAACGGTGTTGTATTTTATTGAGTATGGCGGAGAAGTACAACTTGAGGTAGTTTAGAAATGCTAAATTGTACGTCAAATGAAGTCGAATAAGTGTAAAGAAAAAAATTATTAATGTAATGGACTTGAGCTTAGTTAACAGTTATTAAGTTCGAATATCGTGTACGATGAAAAATTTTGTTGCCAAAAAATTATACTCGAACTTAATAATGTTAAATAAGGTGCCTACGTATCCCTTTATTTGGGAATCAAAGTCCACGTAGTTCTTCTAAATCACATACCTTGGCTGCATACCTTTAATATTCGTATTCGTCTTCGACGTCCCCCCCGGTTCCACTTGTCGACGACGTAAAATCGGATGCATCGTCGTTGTCGTCTTCCTCCTCATTCGAAGTGAGCATAGCAGTTTGCATCCTTCGTTCGGCCTTCTTCCAACGGTCGGCCCGTTAAAATTTTTTTTTTTTTGAATTTTGAGGACCGAACCCGGGAACCCGGCCCGGCCGGCCGGGTCCAACGGTCGGCCTGGACCGGCCCGGACCCGGCCCGTCGGGTTTTTTTTTTGCTGAAGCGAACCGGAACCGGCCCTTGATATGTCCGGTTCCGGGCCGGTTCCGGGCCGGTTCGACCCGTGGACATGTCTACTCTGAGCAAGTGATATTTTTTCTCTATCTAGGATTATTTTCCCCTTACTGTATAACCTAAGGTCCCTAGGTCGTAACCAAGACCTCTACACCTACTTGTTGTGGCTTACCCGAGGTTGAACCTGACCTCATCCTGAGGTCTAACATGACATCAGATCTTACGATCTCAATACCTTGAGGTCGACTTTATTGCCGAGCTCCTAGAGGTTGGCACCTCCAGGTCGTCTTCTTCAAATCGACCAGTATCTTAAGCTCGAGTATGAGCTCCTTAACTGGATGGCTTACTTCTGAACAGACTGGAGCTCTCCTAGACCGATCTAGTTGAGCTAACTATTCAAACTGGGCTTCCTAACTACTGTGAGTGCTACATCAATGAGCTTATGAAATATTATAAATTAAAAATAGATGTTTTAACTTGTAATATTTAATGAATTTACCTACTTATTCTTTACCTTATCAAGGTCCTCATAGAATGTGTGATGATAGCATAATGCGTCCAAAGTTCTAGTTGCCGTTGTCAGACTGACATATGCCATGTTTACGTGCATTTTAGAGTGAATCTCTTGATTATTTCACTGTAGCTTTTTATTTTTATTTTTGCTCATATTATAGAATCTATTAAACTATGGTGAAGGTTTTTTTTTTTCATTTATTTTTTTGATAGAAAAATAGTTGAATATTTTTAAAAAGTAATTCAATGGAAGGACATTGAAAAAAAAAAATAACAAGCCAAATATACACATAATATGGGTCAAGAACGAGACTGGACCTAATTGTACCCACCAGTGAGAGTCAGGACCCACCCGGTGTGAGCTGGCCAGCGAGTCGGACCAAGCCACCCTTCGTGACTCACTGGTGGTCGTTGACAGCTCAGATGACTGCACGCATGCTCGCTGCACTTATTGTGACACCCAGAAGCTCGATGTACACGATGGGATAGTTGGAAGATACTATTGTTTCTCTGCTTATTTAAACCTCGTGCTTTCTCTCTTTTTTATGAGTGTATTTTTCAAGAGTGAGGGGAAGCTGAATTATGAGAGGGAGTTGGTGTTTTTATAGGCTGCATTAGAGACCTTAAAGAGGTGTTAAAGTAGCACTTTTGGTAGATTTAGGTGCACTTGGTTATTGTCTACCTACACCACAAACGCTTACCAATATTAATCCAGTCCATTAAAGTGAACTTCATTCTTTAACCCCAAACTTATATTTTGCTCCAAATTTATCTACTCGATTTATCTCTCTATGTTTATGATATCGATTTTTGTTATTTAATTTGATTATTGACAATTTAATTTATTAGCTTCTTGTTTATGAAACCATTACCACCACAAATTATTATTATTATTATTATTATTATTATTATTATTATTATTATTATTATGACAAAACATAATTCACATGTTGAGTTTAGCATAATATCCTCTTGAGATCATTTTTTGGACATCATCAACCTAACGCATTAGAACGTGGTGTTCGTAAATTATTAATGGCACATCAGGTAAACAATATTACTACTCAATTCACTGAGTCTACTGATTCAATAAGTGAATCTCACGTTTTGGTGAATTGAAGCAATAATATGGAATACAATGTTCATCGTATGTTCCGGATTCAAAGTACGAGTACTAATTGTGGTCTAGTTCATTTATATAGTATAAAATGAACTTATAATCCACGGTTCAGTTTAACAAACTTCATGTGTACAATGTAATTCAGTAGTAAAGATCAAATAACTCCAAAATCATACTACAATTGTTCACGATAGTTAATTCAGTTTATACAGGTTGTGAACCTTATTTATATTTTACAAGGAATTAGTAATATGATTCTGTGCACAATGAGTCATATTATCTAAAATGTTAAATAATAAAACAGTTCGCATTACTATTTAATACAATAAAACACAAACACAATTTTGACTAAACATTATTCTCATTCAAAACTAAAAATATGTTCATAACTGAGCCAACTTTTCCCTATACAAACCAACAGGGATATTGTTGCACGCTGAACCGCGCGTTGGGCACAGCTGGTCGGGCTTTGTCCACACTCTATTCGCCAGTTGCACAGAAAACTGCCACTTTGCGTTTCGACAGCCATATCACCATTTTCCGAAGAGATTTCGCCGCTATACTTCGAGTCTTCAATTAATAAAATACTCAGATGCAGAAATCTCCATTAATGTTTGATATTAAAATAAATTAATTGATTAATATTAAATTATTTATTTATATCTAGTATGTTAGTAATTACTACTATTAAATTAAACGAGCCTGACTCGGCTTGGCTCGAGCTCGGCTCGTTAAGACTCGAGTTCGAGGCCTTAATTAGCCGAGCTCGAGTTCATTTAAAGCTCGTTTGGTTAACGAGTTGAGCTCGACTCGGCTCGAAAAGAGATTTTTTATATAGTTTTTTATAATTCGGTTCGTTAAAGTTTGAAATCGACTATTTAAGGTTTGAGCTCGAGGCCTTAACGAGTCGAGCTCGAGCTTGATTTCTGTCTCGTTTAGTTAACGAGTTTAGTTAGGCTCGGCTCGGCTCGTTTACAGACCTATTAGTATATAGGTAAAAAATGGAAACAAACAAAAATAGACTAAATTCGCAGGGCAAGTGTGCAATTTTTTTTATCTGGACATCTGCATTTCAAATGGCTCGTAATTTAGTCAGTACCAGTGTACAGTACTGCTAGCTCCTAAAAGCGGTAGCTAGCTTCTCCATATCCATCCTCGACGGCATTCGAAATCCACCACCGAAGCGCCCAATAATCTTACCGCCTCCATACTTGCTGAAAAAGCGTGTACAGTCTCATAGTTTTCCGTTGTGAGGAAAAGTGTTTTTACCATTGGAAATGGAGGAAACTCATCCTCTCACGGAGGAGCTCGCAGAAACCGAAACCGCTCAACATCTCGACGACCACCGAAGCTCCACCGACCGTGGAGGCGCGCCAAACCGCACCAAGCAACACCAACGGAATCCACTGGTCTCACGGAAGGTGATATTCCGCCTGCTTTGCCACGTCAGCACTGCCAGCGGTGTAATAGGTTGCTCGGGTTGTGTAGTCAGGCGTCTCGTAAACCTAACGGGTTCGAGAATTTTCTTCAAAGACGTCGTTCCCAACTGCCTTGAGCGCTTGATCCACATTCTGGGCGATTCCACCGTGGAGAAGAAGATATTTGTGGGGAAAGATGGAGAAGGAGGAGATGGTGAACTTGTGGGTGTTTCTAAAGCCCAGGAGGGTTTGCTTAGGGTTTTCGAGAGGATTCTGGAGTTGGAAGGGGATGCTGGAGGAAAAGATGATGGCGATGGTAGGAATGGGCTCGTCGGGTGTCGGTTATTGGCCTGGAATGATCAAATCGGGGCCGTGATTGGAAATGAAGGGAAAATCATCGAGGGGATACAGAAAAGGACCGGAGCAAAGATTAAGGTTCTGCCGAGGGAGACAAATCCTGAATGTGCAGGCCATAAAGACCAGCTGATTCAGGTGATTTTTTTGTCATTATCGTTAGAGTTGTGCGATGAATGGGTTGTTTACGATTTGGACGTTAATTGGTGCTCAAGTTCGTGATTAGTTTTTTTTTCTCCTAGTATAAAAAGCAGTTAATGATGGTAGTTAATTAATGTTGTTTAGTAAGGTATTGATATTACTCTATAAGTCCTGCGTGTGCGAGAGTGGTCTGTAAATCAATATTTTCAAAAAATTTATGTTACAGATTAGCCAAATTGTTAACTTAGTGATAAGATATTCCTAGTTCTTCAGTATCTTGTGTGGGCTGATGATTGTCTTGGACTTGAGTTTGGTGTAAATTAAGAATATCCTTCTTATTATGCACTGGTGTGGTTTCATGTAGGACCTTTATTATTTAAGAATTCCATGATGCACTCTCAGTTCTGCACCTTTTTTCTTCCACTTTCTTTCATTCATATGAAGTCTTGTGCTCAAAGCTCTCCATTAACACTGTAAGGTGCAGTGGCATTCCTGGTATTTAGCTCACCTTTTATGAATTCAAGTTCCCATCTAACAACTGTGAAAATTTTGAAGTCATAAACTACTACACTCAAAACCTTATAAAGAAAGTCATAAAGCAAGTTTTGGCCTGCTTGTGAAGTAGCAAATGATACCACGAATGTTAAGCAACTCTTATTTATGCATGTTCAAGCGCTTGTCTACAGTGTGTCCATAGTTCAGGAAGTGTTAATATGGTTTTTGAATATTCCATCTCTTCTCAAGACACATTACTTGTACAGAAATGTATAATACATTCAAATAGTATGATAATGTCTGTCCATGGTGAAACATGAAAATGAGGTAAAACTTAATATGATCAGAAGGATCTCGGATATTTGGCAACTCGGTTGACTCTTTTTATGTAAGCAACCATTTTTCACCTCTGTTCTGAGGATATCTAAGTTCTGTGATAGATCATGGGTGGTGTTGTGGCTGTAAAGAAAGCATTGCTTGCTGTTTCGCGTCTTCTCCAGACCAATGTTCTTGAGAAACGAGATCCTGGAGTCATGTCCTACCATGGGCTGTGGCATAATGTACATGCGGACTTGAGTCCAGAAAATAGCCGTAATACACCATCCTTTCCTGGGAATGCAGTTGAGCCTCATTCTATTGGCCATTCTTTATCGGCAGAAGTCGAGACCGTTCCTAATCTAGATGAAGATAATTCCCTGAGAAAGGTGGTTTTCAGATTTTTATGTTCTGATGAAATAGCTGGTTGGGTGATTGGAAAGAGTGGACATGCTGTTAAGTCTTTCCAAGAAGAAACTGGGGCTTCGATACAGTTCACACCACCTTTGTCCGGGTCAAAGGATCGTGTTGTCATCATCTCGGCATTGGAGGTAATAAGCCATTATGGTCGTAAATTTATTTTGACAATAATGCTACCATTGTCCTCTTTATTGTTCTATCTGATCTTATAAACTGTCATGTCAATCTCATAATTCTGTTCATATTTAATCTTCTACAAGTTCTTGGTTTTGTCTTTGCAGAGTCGGGATCCACTGTACTCTGCTACACAAGTGGCTCTTGTTCGTGTTTTTGACAGATACGTAGAGTCTGCCATTGCCAAGGGGTTGATTGTAAGATCAGGGAGCACAAATATTATTCCTGCTAGAATTCTGGTCAAGTCGAGTCAAGTTAGTTGCTTGCTGGAAGGTGAAAGGATTGTTTCAGGTATAAATGCTGCGTCGGGTGCTGAGATACAATTAATGGGAGAAGATTTATTGCCCACGTGTGCTGGAGTCAATGATTGTCTGGTCCAGGTAAACTGCTACTATATGGTCATGCATAAATCATGAGAACGGGGGTTTATTGTACTATCGAGTTTAGCTTTGTGGTTGAACCTTAATGAAACTAGGGGATGCTTCTAACTCACCAACAGTTGCCTTCCTGCCAACATCTTCAGAGTTATCTGATTGAATGTGTAGTTCAATTTTTGTGTTTAGAAGCATTTATCCTGTATACTCGTTAAGATATATGGAAGAAACTATTTGGGCATTTGTTTATCTATGAGCAGCTTTCAAAACAACGATTTGCCTTTGACTGATTCCAAGTCTTATTGCATGATTCTGTAATATTGAGAGTCAACGAAATTAGCTGCTGACCTATAGATAGAAGTAATGGTTGAAGAACTGCCTTTACATGCTTGTTTTCCGTCTGATCTGTAAACTTGGCTTATTCAGTCGAAGCAGATACATGTCAGCATACTTGTAAATGGATGGATTTTTGCTGTAATGCCTGCTTTCGTTGAATCTGCTAAAGCTTTCTTTCACAGATTACGGGCGACTCTGAGAGTGTTAAGGCAACTCTGTTTCGACTTGCTGGAAGACTAAGGGAATATTTCTTTTCTGAAGTGGGACCTGAAGAAGCAGAAAACTGCAGTCATGAATCACATCAAACTTCTCCTAGGTAATATTTCTTTTCTGAAGTGGGACATGAACAAGCAGAAATTGCAGTCATGAATCACATCAAACTTCTCCTAGCAACAGTCCTATAGGTAACTTGCCAGCTACTTCAACTCAACTGGACCAACTATCAGCACTTTCTTCTAGGGATAAGCTGGATCAAATTGGATTTGTACAGGTATTATTCTAAAGCAGTACATTCGGTTGACTGCTCACTTCATGCATGTGAAATGTAAACTACGTTATGAGATTTGCTTTCTCATCTTTTTCGAGATATTTTGTGTTTGCAGGCCGGTGGCCGAGAGAGTGACCCAGGATTTGTAGATAGTGTGACAACTTTTCCGAGTTGGCATAATCATGAAAGGTTTTTAGACTCATGACTAATCCCTATTGTTGTACCCTTTTTGACACTTGGATGAGCCAGTTGACCTGGCAATGTTAAGTGACTATATGTTATGGTTATGGCCAGTGAGCTGTGATCCATTTGCAGTTTTGTTTTGGTTTTTACTTTACAAAATCTTAATGCTTTCTTGGCGGGCACATTCAGACAGTTTTCCAGTGTTATTGGCGATGAGGAACCAGAAAGAAAGGTGGAGTTTGTGGTCCCAGAAGAAAAGCTTGGATTTTTCTATGGTGATAATGGAAGCAACAATGCTTGCTTAAAAGAGGTAATTTTCATTTGAACCTATCCCCTGTTAATTCGACTTGTTTATCCCATTGAGAATTGACCAAAGCACTAATAAGATTTTTATTTGCAAACCCTAGGACCAAGATCAGGTCCAATTTCTGTCATCGCATGATTCTTATTTGTAGCTGTTTTATGTTCTTGTCTGAGTGTTGTGTTCGTCCCATAAGTTTGATACGAATTATTCTTGGAGTTTTATTATATTATGGTCTAAACATAATGGAGATATTGCAGCAGACCAAAGAGGTTTTGATGATAACTGATATGTGCAAACAAGATAATTAGACGTACTTGTTCATTCATTCTTATCTCTTTTTCCTCTCCCTTCTCTTTCATTTTCTCTCAGAAAATTTGCTATTAGCAAAGTTCCACCCTTGACTTGGGGTCTGTCTGGCGATTCAGTTATTTTCACGAGCTTCTGTTAGTTTGCTTGTTTGCTCATCTCTTTTATTTACAAGATGAGAAAATACAATGCACTCCGTTGTTGGCACCTTAACTTTGGCATTTCTTACGTATACACGTTTACCGTGAACCTTTGTATGGATAACTAGAAGACATTCTGTTGCAGTTGGTTTCCTGTGTTATTCGGGCCTATTCATAATGGTTTTTTTTTTTAGCATTAACTAGAAGACATTCTGTTGCAGTTGGTTTCCTGTGTTATTCGGGCCTATTCATAATGGTTTTGTTTTTAGCATTTTTCTTTATGTGCCGTTATATTACTCAATTTCTTTTCCCCAGATATCAGGTACAAGTGTTACCCTGCAAGATCCTTCTCCTGGAGGAAGTTTCAGGAAGGTGATCATATGATCATATCTGGGACGCTTGACATATACAGATTGTCCAGTATATTTGAAGCTTTCATTTTGTTTTTAATCATATTGCTTGAAAGGCTACACCCCTATCGGTAGATAGTCAAAAGGCATGCTTTTTGAAACCTGTTGTTAAAAGTTGAGTTGCATATTACCACGGGTTTTGTCTAACTTAAGTTGAGCTGCGCATTAAATCCTCTTGTGCGCTTTAATTGTTAATAGGATGTGGTGGTGTATGTGCTAGTTGTTAGTTGTTATTATGCTCGTGTTTATGGAGAAAGTGATTTATTGACATTGAAGTAGCTAGATTTTGTGTTGAAA